CTGACGTGGACAAAAGGGGTGGAGTGCTTTGTGCATCCGCAGCATGCTTATTCTCCGGGCCACCCCGATTCATCTACGTCTGAGCTCGCGCATTAACTTCTCTTCAGTTACTTCACCAAAGATGGTCAGCACGGCGTCTGTGTATTCCGTCGTCGAAAGACAGTCGACCAGGGACACAGAGGGTTCCGCCTTTCGTCCCTTGGCATCCTCCTGGCCAAATCTGCGCGCCCCCGGCCTTGGAAACACACGTCTTCGCTCAAGGAGCTTACGAGCCTGATCTACTCGCGATTCGAGAGCTCCGCTTCACTTATTCCTCTCGAAAGCGATTGGGAACCAGCGTGCGCGTTCTTTAACGAGCGTAGAGCTGTTCGGGTCGATCTTGGAGGAGCGGGAGACTGGAATGGGTGGAGTCATGAGCTTCTGGAACGGGTAGATTGCTTCTGTCCTACTTTTGTGCTTTGTACTGATTCTGCATTAGCTCGACGAGGACATCACAGAACAGAACCCAACGCTCCATCTGCCCCATCTCCTGCGTATCCTCGGCCCCTCCTCGTTGACCCTCTACAAGCATGTTGTCGGTCGGCGACGGATCTTGATCTATACCCTGCCGCCAGTCGAGGCTGCATCCATTCTCTGCCAGGTGGCGGCAGATATGTGCTACGAACAACAAGTCGAATACAGTACATCTCCTGGGTCGCCCTCATCGCGCTTGCGTGGCAAGTGCAAGGAAGGTATCAGTGTCCTCGGGATTGTGACTCTCAACGACCTCGATAGGCTGCAGGCGGAGGGCAATAGCGGGCGCGGATGGGTTGCTTGTACGTCTCTCTCCCGCCTCCTTTTCTGCTTTCTGACACCGGTGCAGGCACGACCGATGCCATTTTCTTGGAAAAGCCGTCGTGCTACGACCTGCTTATCGATCTGACCACCTCCACGCCCAACAAGGCCACGCGGCCCACGTTTTATACATCGCGCCCGGTACAGCCCCCGTCGTCGGGGCCATCTAGACCCCGAGGACCGACGCATCGTCTGTCCGTTGTTCGCTTCTCGTGGAGCGACATCAAGTTGGTAAGTAGCCAAGTAGCGTATCATCCCTCATTCTTATCTCGATGTAGTGGAACGAAATCAATCGTATCCTGCAACTGGATGCGTCGTCTGCGCATGACCACTCGTGCTGCACCGTTGCGTCTCTTTCCCCGGATCCAAAGTCCAAGTCTATCACGGCGTGGACCGATGCATGGCGCGTCTACGAGGACGTGTGCGTCATCTGCGCTGGATTGTGGATGGGCTCATGGCGGGGCAACTCGGTCATGTCATACTCGACCGCCGACGGCGCGGCGAACTGGGGCAGCGTGCGTCTCGAGGGGGACGAGGACCTCAGCCTGCGCGCGCTGGGTGTCGAGGCGGCATCGAGTCCCGGCGGCCACGTGCGAAGCGTGGGCATGGGCATCGAGGGTGGGCCCAAGGTCAGCGCGAGCGGGAGCGGGCTCACCCGGACGACGACCAAGACGACGCGGCGCTCCAGCGGGATGTCGTGGTCGAGCGGCAAGGCGACCGTGACCAATCCTGCGTCACCCGGGCCAAGCAGCGCCAAGGGCAGGGGTGCCGCGGTCCAGATGGTGCCGGACGAGGAGGACATAGAGGAGTATGAGACTGCGCGCCGGGACGGACAGATCCTGACGACGCTGTCGCTCCTACAGACTCTGCACGCGCACACTGCCTTCCAGCTGTCGACGCTTGAGTCCTTCCTCCCCAAGGACAACGCACCCGGCAAGGTCATCTCCTTCACGTACAAGGACATGACGGCGTTTGAGCTTGGTCCCATGAGCGGGATGGATGCACGATACTTGGAGTGGCTGGCGTCCGAGTACGGTGGTGGTGCGAGTGTGGTGATCAAGCGCGGATGGAAGGAAATGCTTGGGGCCATCTTTGGCTACGGCTAGGAACGACGAAAGACTGAGCCTTTATTGTATTTATCACTAATTTGCTTGTATACACCCTACCTCCTTATACCCCGTTCTCTCATCCTGGAATTACTTGTTGGGATCGAAATCGTCGATACAGGATTGGTGCGCGTCGACCCGTTCCGAGTCGGTGAGGCGCGAGGTTTGGTCCAGATAGATCGCAATGTAGCGAGAAAAGATATATACGAAAAGGGAATATTAATACATCGCACGTCTTGATACCTACACACGTGGCGGAACTTCTTTAGCGACTTTTCATTCTACCCAACTGGTCAATAGAATGCTTTCAGGTTTCCAGCCGTACCGTTCCCCTCCCGCGTCCTTAGCTTGTATCCTGTGCCATACTACTCGTTGAGGCTCTTTTCTGTTAAACAACCAAGTTTCGCGTGTCTAAGGCCAAAACAAAATGTACCCGCGGATGAGTTCGGGACTTGAGTGGAGTAGCCCGATGTGCCCTGCGGTGGCTCTCTGAACTGCTTTTGAGATAAAGCTTGAGCATAGCGCGAACGGGCCAAGAGTCGTGGTATTTATGGAGATCATATTTCTCTGTGATCTATTCCAATAATGTGAATCACACAGAACCATATTCCGAATGTCAGGCGCCGACCTCGTTACAGAGTTTCCTTATCTTCTCGGCATTCTGGTGCTGGTACGACTTCGAGATGTCTAGATGGTTCTTAGCCAAGGAGTGGACGTGGGTCTGTTCATTCAGCTAGTCTGGATCGCAAAATCCATTGAGATCCATACCTGAAAGTCGACGAACGTCTCTCGGCTCCACTCATATTCATGGAGCAATTTATTCTCCAAGTTAAAGCCACCGCAATTTGGCCGTCCTGGTTGCCCGGTTGGTGGCTGGTATTTGTCGTAATTGTGTGGCTGTTGGAGGGCTGCAACTGTCCGTCCGACCTCGCCAACTTCTGATCTTGCAGATACGAGAGATGCAAAAGAAGGGGTGGCTCTATGAGAGTCAGGCGAGTCCGCGATAGGGGACGCAGCGGCTCTGGTACCAGTTTGAGTCGGGGATGATAGCGTGTTGGGAGAACAAAGAAAAGCGGAGTGACCAGGTCCAAAGGCGGGCTCAGGCTGGTCCGTAGCTGAGGTGTTTACATGTTCAGAATTGGCCGGATCCTTAAAGTCGCTGGAAGTACTACTCGGCGCAGAGTCCTCGAAACCTTGATCCTGATGGTCTTGTCGCCCACGAACCATAAGCTGGAGGTCGTCATATTCGATACGGGGAGTTATGCACGGTAAAGGACGATCAGAGTAGAGGGGAAATTTGATACGGGGCGATATGAGTGGAAGATGCTTGCCAACGTAAGGTGTTTGCATTTTGTCTTGATGGTCCAGATAGAGTCCGGCGGAGTAGATGGGTAAAACTCGGCTATCAATTTTTCGGTGATTCAACTTCATGTTGCTGTACATACGTGTACTGCGTATATCAGTCAACCAAGTAGATTATTTTAACACAGCCCTCCCGGGATAGGTTGGTTAAAATGTATATTGTAACCTGGAACATTTTTATATATAACGCACAACACAGAGAGGGCCCAATAATACAGTACGCAGGATCGGCTGATTCCAGCACAGCGCGCATTAATTCGAAAGTATTGACCTTTTCAACATTTATGGGAAAATTAAGCTACATTATCAGTGCCTTCAAAGAACTTGAAGTGCAAAGCATAATTACCCATTCATGTACATAGATAGATGTAATGAGTTTTGGCCTATGGTTGGCAGTAGTTTTATAAATCACCGTGTTGGTTCATCAGGGAAGATTTACTTCTAATCTGTCTGCTCGGAGATGATACAGTGCAAATGTAATAAATGGGGAAAAAATAGAAGACAAATGGCCAACCCTGTTTTGACTTATATGAATGCAAGCGCAAGCTGGCCTAGCTGAGAGCTACTGAGCGGGCGGGATCTGGCGGGGTCCATTACTTTGATAGCCGTCGGCAATGGCGATCCCATCAGTTCGGGTATTTTTTTGATGGGATTGAGTTTTACCGCCGCCTTCCCGCAGCTTCCCGCTCACTGTTTTCTATGCGAACACCGTTGTTAGGTTATAATTGTGGCTGGGTACTAATGTTCATTCCGGTGTTCAAACTTTTTGCTTCTTTTAGTCGTCTGGGTTCTACAGCGTGACGGGAAACTGGGTGCGTGAGCTCGGCTTGGATGGCTTCTAGAGGCGAGGGACAATGGTGTAAATATAAAGCCTGTATTATACCGGGATACTTCCTCAAACCAGTGTTCCTAAGCGGGACCGTGCTGTGTAATACTACTATATATAAATCAAAACCAGATTAGTCTATTTCTTTATCATTCGAAGTTTAAAATCTTTGCCTGTTTGCCTTCAGCTGCACAAAAAAAAAAAGAAACCGACAGTTATTTATCAGGAAACTACCGCCAACCATGAACTCATTCAAGTTCGGCTGCTGTAGTGTGAATTCTCGCTGTTCTGGAATTGGCCGCTCCTACTTATTATTGAGCCCCCTGTGCATCAATCTTCAAATTATGTCTCTTCGTGGGGGCACTATAAAAGCAGGTTCCAGGTGACAGTATACTACATTTAGCCAGATGGCAGTGTAAAAAATAATCTTGTGCCTTCTTACCTCGTTGACTAACATAGTTCCATGTGCCTCGTTATACAGGTAAATTACACATGTGCAGCGATACCGACGAAGTTGAACTATCAGTGATGCGCTTGATGGCTTTTACTCGGAACATTCTGCTGTACCACAAATGGCCACATCACCGAAAATTGATAGGCAAGTTTTACCCATCCACTCTGGACTCTGTGAGCAGTGAGAAGGGGCATGCTGATGAGGCAAACTGTTTTAACATTTCAGTTAAAGACAAGTTGAAGATCTAGTCTGTTTTTGATGTTGACTTGTGCATTTTCTGCAGTTCTAGTATTAGTATTTTAACTGTTGTTCTGCAGAAAATGCACTAACTCCGTTTTTCGCGTTGACTTCGTGTTTTTTGAGCTCAAGGATCATTTAGTACCACATCATAGGAACTGAGCCTTATGAGATGATTATCTCCGGTATGGTGTAGGGGTTAACATCGGTGCTTTTCAGGAATTACGTAAGATTCATATCTCTCGTAATCTGAGCGCACTAGCCCGGGGTTCGATTCCCCGTTCCGGAATTCTTTTTGGATCCACGAGGCGGTTGAGCTTTTTTTTTTTTCGTTGCTTAAGAGAACCTTTTGTTGATAAATGTGCATGTATTCTTTTTTATCAAGCACAAGAAACATAGGTTGCTATGAAGTGACAAGTAAGGATGAGTCAATGGCCAGAAAAAGCGCAGAACGCACAGAGGAATCAGTACTTCTTGGGTTCCTGACATGGAATTTTTCTCATCAACGGGTGAAAGAGAGCTTGGGAATCGAAGGGAATGCATTGCGATAAGGGTCTTCCTGTACTGATCTTCCACCTATAATGTACAGCTGGATTTCAATATAAATGATGTCAACGAATCAATGGGGTAGAGCCAAGGAATTGTTCTGCAACTTTGAGATTGCAGAGAGCCAGGAGGATAAAGATGCCGAGATACTTGGTCACCGGTTGATCATACCCTGGGTCGTTCAAGGCCAATGATTCCAAGCAAGGAAGTGTGATATTGGTTTGTGGATCACTGTCATCATCGAGGGAAAAGAATATGGTCGCGGGCCTAAAGTACGCATTAGTTGTGTGCGAGTGGAAAGTAAGAGAATGATTACGGGATAGTTGTGTCCTTGTTCCAGGGATGACTAAAGGCCACGGGCTTTTTTTCAGAGGCTGGGTTGTTGATGATGCCAGAGGCAATATTGTAGATTCGGTTACACCCCTCAGTGCCCATTTTATAGCACGCCACGCTCGCGTTGAAGCAACCTATATACGCTGCCCAGGCTCCATTCCTCGCTGCAGATAGAGGCTGCAGCAGATCTGAATTCTGAGAGCGGTGTGTGAGATATTGATGCAGCAAGGATAGGCTGCTTACAACCAGGTTCTTCTTGAAGGATTCCCTTGCATACTTGGCGGCTTGTTCGGAATCAGGGGCCTCCCTCGCCTGGCGAACCAAACATTTGACTGCGGGGCTACAGAAGCCGTGTCAACGATAATTTTCCTAAAGAGGATGTAAGCAGATCGTTCGTGATGGATAGATGATCAAGTACAGCAATCTTCTCGCCCAGGGCGCTCTCCTTGGTTCCTGCAACCTCTCCAAGATGGAGCGGCACAAAGTCGAAGTTTTGGGTGTCACGCGAATATGAGTCCCAAAAAGGACCGTCGGTCTGGTGGTGGAGCACGTCCTTTGCCACATGTGTTCCCATTTGAAGGGAAACTATAAGCAGAGCTCGGAATAGTACGCAGAGTGGGATCAATTATGTGCACCATGTTTCCCGTGTCACAATGCAAGGCTCTAAATCCGACTTTGGAAAGGCCGGCCTTTTGACACCACTCTCCGAAAACCTCGTAGGCGGACTCCGCCATCGCCGCCATCTCCGAGGAGGCAAAGTCCTGACCACCCTCGTTGCCGGCGAGAAAACTGTCATGTCAACTCAGTAAAGGTAGTGGAAAAGGCAGCAAGACGTACATGGGAGTATCCTTGAACAAGGGATCGATTTTGAGCTCTGCGGAGTCGTCCTCCACAAGCTCTTGGATGGTCTGAGTCAAGAGTAAGTTGGGTGCAAAAGAAATGACATTGAGAACAAACTGGCCTGGCACTTCTTTTCAAAGCGTCGCAAGTGGAAGAGATGAGCGAGGAGGGGGACGGTGAGGTTAAACACAATGTTGTGGGCGAAGAGACACCCAGTGATTAGGAAGGTCTGCTCGTCACCAACCGCAGTCCCAATAGCATTCTGGCAAGGAGCTGAGAGAATGAGAGGGATATCAGACTGATAATTATACCTTGCTGTACTGCATCCGAAACAGAAACTGGTAGTCCATATAGCCGAGTCTTAGACATCGAATGTTGCTGAGAACTGGTACCTGGTGAATCACAGTTAGAGAATGGAGATTAGATAAATGATGAACACTTGCATAATTAAGGTCTTGCCATTTCTTATCCATCGGGCCCAGGGAAGAAGACCTGCTGCCGAAGAAGAATGGCAACAGGAACCTAATTATATTTTGGAGCACTGGCTTGCGACCTGTGTAGCGGCTGTCATCCAACATGCAGGTAAATATGAGGAGGAGTTCATGTCGCCCAAAATACATCTTGATCTCTTTGTGGTGGTCGAGCTTGTAATCATGTACCACTGGGGATGAAAGTGTTCAGCAAACATCACGAAATACAAGGCAGAAAACTTGCATTTCAAATTTGGGCCTTGAGAGCGTCATAAACGCCGTGCTGAATCAACAAGGTCATGCCACATCTGGACCCCGATACAGGATCACGAGTGTAGGTTACCATCAAATGAAGGAAGACCCCGGACCACCACACGAGTGTGTTTGCTTTCAGTGGTTTGAGAGGGTCCCGCGGTTTGTAGACATGAACCTGGAGGCCACAGTGAAAAAGTGCGGGAGAAACAAGGAGCACTCACTGACCATTGTGAAGAGAAATCTGTTCCAATTGTCTTCAATGATGTTTCGGTCCCAGTGTTGCTCAGTTGGCACCAGAGGCTTGGCTACTGCAAGATAACCAGCCCAATCGGCCAGGGATTTGACGTGATTGCGCTGGGTGATTGGGCTTTGGGTGGATGAGACCTCCTTTAGGAAGGTGTTGGCTTTCTCCATAAGGGCATCAGCCGTGTTCATGGTGGGGTTGGTCATATGGGCGCGTATCTGAGCACCGATCTGGAGCACTCTTTGCTTTCCTTTTGCATGGACACCGTCTGGGACCAAAGGAGCCTGTGGCGCAGGGATTGATCCCATCGAGTCGAGGGTGAGCTGAGCACTGCTGGCAGGAGTGGGATGAATTAGTTTTTGGCTTTGGTGTATAACTCTAGCGACATTCGAATTGCTCATAGGAAACGCGTCCATGGTGTCGAAAGAAAGCCTTTTTTGCATCACGTTGGTGGATGTTTGGCAATTGATGGCATCAGTGTTTGAAAAGCGGACACTGGCCACCACGCACGCTGGTGTCTTCAATCTTGTTTTTCTTGTTTTTGCACAATTGGAGGCAACACAGCTAAAATCACAATCACAAAGCAGGCATTCCGAACCGCGAGCAAAGACGCAAGTCGTCATTCCTTGGATGCCAAGACACGAACAACAGCTCAAATCACTTATTATGTCTCCGTAACAACCCTACTCATCTTGCTCAAAAAAAAAGCAGATTTTCTGACGGATGGGGGCTCTTCACATGCTGTGAAGATCTTTATTTAATATCCATAAACTCCAATCTATCTTTTGAACGTTAATCTTTCAATGGAGAGTCATTTCTCTCAATTGACCGTTTTGGGAATCAATGCCCATCGATATTTGATCGGATCTCACGAGCCTGAATCTTTCAATTTTCTTGCGGCCTTTTGCAAGGCAGATGACATTATAAGATTTATCCAATTTTATGTGCAACGGTACTTAATACGTGAGATTGAGAATGTCATGCTGATAATCCAAATTTTGGATCATAATGAGGGCAGGAGGCAACTGAGCGATGTGCGATTTGCTGGGCACTTGGCGGCGCGGCAGTCATTTCGGCCAGCAGGCCGAATCCCGAGTTGACATCCTGCGTGGTAGCGGCGTGAGGGTGCACGCGGACGAAGAGGGAAGGCACGCGTCGCGGTGCTGCTGACAAATTTCGTTCCAAACTTTGGAACAAAAGCAGGCTTGGAGGGGCACGGAGAAAAACAGATCGCAAGCGGCAGGATCGAACGCAGGACCTCCTGAAAAGTGGGCACGAGATGAGACTGGTGTCGTAACCAGTTGAGCAATCGGACCATTGGAGGGTAGCAGAGGTAGGTGTTCATGGGGTGTCTGCGGCCTTGTCCAGGCACATGGCAGGCAGCGCCAGTCCTGGCACATGTCGGGGTTGTCAAGCAGGTTGTTGGTATGTCACCAAAGTCATCCCAATACGTGTTTGAGCGTGCGCGATATGTTGGTCGCAACGTGCGGGCCGCGACGCAGGGCGAGGCGGAGCGGGGTGCTGGCAGGGAGGGTGGAGGGCGGGCGGGCAGGCGGGATGCAGGCAGGCTGGGGCGGGCAGGTGGGGCGAGCAGGAGAGAGGGCAGGAAGGCGGGAGCGTTGAGCGATGGCAAAAGGAAAGGCGTGCATTGCTGACATCAGCGATCATAGTAGGTCACGACAACGGCGGGCTCACGGCGTCGATCGCGCGCGACGGCAGCGATGAGAGGAGGCGGGACACGTCGAGGAAAGGGAGGGATGAAAGGTTGACATTGGCGCCAGGCTGATGACCGATGTCATAGTGATGACATACTCGACTTGTCTAACTTGGCCCGCGACGCGACTCAACTGACCAGACCCAACGACGGCGACGACGCAGGCCCGATGATGACGATGACGACGCACGCCCACCCTCGCCCCGGACCCCGCCCACGCCTATCGCTGCCCCCCACCACGCCTATCGGCGCGCCCCGACCCGACCCCCGCCTATCGGCGGCGCAGACCACGCCTATCGGCGCCCCCTACCCGACCCCACCTATCGGCACCCCAGACCCTGCCTATCAGCGCCCCAGACCCGACCCCGCCTATCGGCGGCCCGACCCGACACCCCATGCAGGCCCGTTGGGCCCTGATCGCAGCCCTCGCTGATGCACACGTCGGCTCCACCTCCTGGTGCGCACCGCTCGGGTCACCTTTTTGCTGCGCTCAAAGGTGACCCTAATACAGAGTCTTGTCGGGCCAGGATTTTTTTTCCTGTGGAAAAAAACCCCGACCCTCCTCGCAGCAACACAGGCTCGTCGTCAGTCCCACCTTTGGCGGGACACTCCTCCTCAAGACAGAGGCCTAGCCCGAGGTTTGATTCCCCGTTCCGGAATTCTTTTTGGATCCACGAGGCTGTCAAGGTATTTTTTTTTTGTTGTTTAAGAGAACCTTTTATTGATAAATGTCACAACATCTGCATGTATATTCTTTTTTATCAAGCACAAGAAACATAGGTTGCTATGAAGTGACAAGTAAGGATGAGTTAATGGCCAGAAAAAGCGCAGAACGCACAGAGGAATCACTACTTCTCAGGTTCCTGACATGGAATTTTTCTCATCGA